CAGGGGAGAGGAGAAGCCAGCCTCTGACGAGTTCTTCGCTCCATCAGGAACCTCACGGGGGCCTGCGGGGTGGAATAGCCATGGGACCCCTCCGTTTAGAGAAAGGACAGACAGACAAGGTGAGAAAATGTTGAGAATGCAGACAGCCAACAAAGGGTGTTCCATATGCAAAGAGTTCTGACAAATAAAAAAGAAAAAAAAAGAATGCAAGGAAAGGAACAGGCATTAATGGAAATAACTGAGGTTCTATTTTGCCCTAGCTCTCTGATCCCCGTCATACGAGCCATTATATACGTAATTGTGCTACCGCCTCTCAGGCTTTTCCCCGCCCCAGCCCTCAGGTTTGGCTGAGTTATAACTATTTGTATTTGCAGAGATGTCTTCCTTTGCTTCGGAGCCCTTGTTTAGAACTTACAGAATGCATTCCCAGTGAACTGATCCTTGGCCATTTAGGTTTGATTTTTTTGTTTATTGAATAAATGTTTAATAAACATATAAATAATATATAAATAAGCAGTAGTAAATCTCACTAGTCCATATGGTGAATTTATATAAACCTATATTAAGATTCTTTGCTCAGCCCTAGCCGGTTTGGCTCAGTGGATAGAGCGTCGGCCTGTGGACTGAAAAATACCGGGTTCGATTCCAGCCAAGGGCACATGCCCGGATTGCAGGCTTGATCCCCAGTAGGGGCCGTGCAGAAGGCAGCCAATCAATGATTCTCTCTCATCATTGATGTTTCCATCTCTTCCTCTCTCCCCCTTCCTCTCTTAAATCAATAAAGAAATATTTTTTTTTTAAAAAAAGATTCTTTGCTCACTCCCAAATTCTCCTTTTCTGACCACCCTTCATCTTGAGTTCTCCATTCTGGAGACCAGGGTTTCTCAGTGCTGCCAATGTTGACATTTGGGGTTTTTATGTAGCAGGGCCACATAATGTGAAGCAGCATCCCTGGCCTCCCACACCGCCACCCCACCCCACCCACGCCATGATAACCAAAATGTCTGCAGACATTGCCGCGCGTCCCTGGGGGCAAACCCCTCTAATGCCTTGGGAGGGGGGTTTTTAGGCGCGTCCTTGTCTCCCAGCCTTTGGGGTCTCCAGCACCCCTGTGGCCAGGAGATGCTGTGGCATCTCTCATCTGACTTACTATTTGGTGGCTCCGTCTTTCTGCTGTGGCTTGTCAGGGCCAGCCTGACAGGTTGAGCCGGGCTGAGGTAGGGAGGTGGGAATTGAGAAAAGAAAGAAAGACAGGAGAGCGGGATCGGGAGGACTACAGCTCCATCGAGGAACTGCAGCAGCTTCATTAACCACACAAGGCTTTTTATACACGACACACTGAATAGGTCTGTCAAGAGGCATGTATTCTTTGTTTCTCTTAATCTCTAAGGGAAGACGGAGCAGGACAAGTTCTCGGTACAGCAAATCTCAGTAAATAGTTACAACCTTCTGGGTAAGCCATGAAAGGCTGTTCTCATTCTACAAAGGTTGCTCTCATTCTACCGGTAACCGCCATCCAAACAAGTCTGGGAAAACTGTGTGGGTAAGGGTCCCAGCCTTGCCAGCCCCTTCAGGTGCAAGGACCGTGTCAGCTTACACCTGGGCTCCAACAGTAGCTCATGAGGTCTTCCCCGTCCTTGGAGTCCAGGGACCTGCCCCGTCTGCCCAGAGGCGCCTTGGTCATCGCCTACCTGGACGCGAGCCACTCTTTAGCGCGGGGAGATGTCCTTGTAGGGATTCAGTTCATTCTCGTGTCTCATTCATCAGTTCACAGTCTCATCCCCAGATGGTTTGCCTTCTGGGTCTCCCAAGTCTGCCCGCCAGATGCTGAACCCCGGGGACCTGGCAGCCGCTCCGGGGATGCCACGGCAGCAAGACAGGCTCTGTGCCCCCTGCAGGCCGGCTCTCCAGCTGGTTTCCACCTCAGGGCCTTTGCACCTGTTGTTCCCTCCCCTGGGCACCTCTCCCAAACCTCAGTCCTGCTGGCTCCTCCACACGCTCACATCCCAGCTTCAGTGTCATCCAGCCCTCAAAATCCAGACCTGCCACCAGACCCCATTTTCTCCCTTGCCTCTTGTTACCTTGTCTCATTTCTTTTTTAAAAAATGCATTTTTATTGATTTCAGAGAGGGAGAGAGAGATAGAAACATCAATGATGAGAGAGACTCATTGATCGGCTGCCTCCTCCACGCCCCCTACTGAGGATGGAGCCTGCAACCCAGGCATGTGCTCTTGACCGGAATCGAACCCACGACCCTTCAGCCTGCAGGCGGATGCTCTATCCACTGAGCCAAGCCGACCAGGGCACCTTGTATCATTTCATCAAGGTTTTTAATTTAGTATTTGTCCCCCTTGAAAGTATTGGTTCCATAGTGGCAGAGACATGTAGGTACTTGGTGCCTTTTCACCATTGTGTCCCCAGCTCCCAGGAGGTGGAGTACAGACACAATAAATATTGACTTCAATGAATGTTTTAATCCTCACTCGAGGATATTTTTTTCACTGATTTCTAGAGAGAGTGGAAGGGAGGGAAGAGGAGGGGAGAGAGAGACAGAGGAAAACATCAATGTGAGAGGCACATCGATTGGTTGCCTTCTGCATGTGCCCCTACCAGGGCTGGGGAACCTGCAACCCAGGTACATCCTCTTGACCAGGAATCGAACCCGAGACCCTTTGGTCTGCAGTTGGCTGCTCCAGCCGCAGAGCAAACCGGCCAGGGCAGTCTCCACATTTAAACCCAAGAGTCACCGCTCTTAAACAATGTCCCCGGCATGAATAGAATCACATTGCGCGGTAATTGGTTCTTTTGTGCATGAATGACTTTCTGCGGCAGTTTTGATGCTAACTGGCTCAGTTTCCCACGTGCACTTTTGTTTACTTACAGTGACTGGTGAGTGCACGCATCTACGACACCTATTTAGTATAAATTTAAAATTACAGCAAGACATATTTAAAACCTTTCTGTGAAATTGAACTTTCATACATACTTTTTTTTTTTAAATCCTCACCCGAGGATATTTTTTCTATTGGTTCCCAGAGCGAGTGGAATGGGGGCAGGCCGAAGAGAGAGAGAGGGAAACATCGACATGCATCAGTTGGCTGCCTCCAGCATAAGCCCCTACCCGGGCTGAGGGACCTGCAACCGAGGCACATGCCCTTGACCAGGAATCCAACCTGCAACCCTCAGGTCCACCAGTCACTGCTCTAACCACCGGCCAGAGCCATGCATACTTAATTTTATTTATTTTATTTTTTAAAATATATTTCTTTATTGATTTCAGTGAGGAAGGAAGAGGGAGAGGGAGATAGAAACATCAATGATGAGAGAGAATCATTGGTCAGATGCCTCCTGCACGCCCCCTACTGGGGATAGAGCCCACAACCCAGGTATGGGCCCTTGGCCTGAATCAAACCTAGGACCCTTCAGTCCACAGGCCGACGCTCTATCCATTGATCCAAACTGGCTAGGGCACATATGCAAGTTTTTAAAAGATAAAATCTATGGCTGGACACTCAGGTTGTTGAAGAGAAAAGGCTTCGGGAGGGAAATACCCTTTTTATATACTACTCACCCCTTCCCACCATGGGCTTCTGCTATAAAAAAGGAATTATATTCTTTCATAGAAAAATGAAATGACCAAGATTAGTAAAAATTTGGAGGTAAAGAGATAAGAAATTTGCTTTACCAGAAGCAACAGTAAAAATTTGCCTTTTAATCAAATCTGTATAGAAAATTTAAAAATGGCTGCTTTTTTTATTTGGCTCTTAAAAACAATACCT